AAAAATGCTGGGTTAAATACAACGCAGTGCTGGGTAAAATAGGGACAAACGCAGCAATTGGGTTGTTTTGACCCAGCGGTTGGGTTACTATCCAGAAGTTTGGGTTAAACATTTAACCCAACCGCTGGGTCAAAACAGCCCAATTGCTGGGTTTGTCCCTATTTTACCCAGCACTGGGTTGTATTTAACCCAGCATTTTTTAGAGTGTACATTTAAGTGCTGAGTACTATTAATTAACTACATGTACTTTAGTTAGGGTTAGGGTTACTTGCATGTAATTATGCATAATTTATTTTTATTATAACAGTAAGTACATGTAACGTGTAACAGTGGTGGTGTCCACCACTTTAGGTGTCCACCTTAAAATAAAATGTTACCAAAATCTTCTTCTCTGTATCGAACCTTTTGCAAGGCCCATTTTTGTAACCTAAATGTATTTTGTAGTCCATTTTTTAGATATACATTTTCAGTTAATTCCAGCGCTGTATATCTGCGACTATACATATAATTTATTGATTTACAATGTATAATTTTTCACCCTTATTGTATTTTCATAAAATAATAATAATAATACTAATGTTTAAATTAATTAATTAATTAATTAATTAATTTTTATTTTTATTTTTTTCACTCGAATGAGCAACAGGGTTTCATATATAGACTGAATTATTATTATAATAATTATAATAATTATTATTAATATTAATAACAATGATAATAATTTCTATAATAAAAACAAAAAACACCAGAGTGAGCAGAGTAAAGCTATAAATTGTTACAATTGTGTGTGTAAATGTATCTAAATTCAATTAATATAAATGTAAATTACATCAATTAAATTTTCAGTTTTCAAATTTTTTTTTTTTTTTAGAAAAACATGCACTTATGAATCACGCACATTAATGCCAGTAATATGCATTAAAACATTAAATAGGGTCGAAGTTATTTTATAATTTTATCATCTATCTTTTTTTTCTTTCTTTGTTTTTATTTTAAACTGAAGTACGGAAGTTTTGTCTCTTTATCGCCATTTCTTGTTGAAACACATTTTTTTAATTGCAAGTTATTTGTGGAGTTTGTCACGAATGAATCATGATCACCATATCAGAGCGGATCTGTCATGTCACATCCACATACGGCATATATCCGAAAATATGTCATCTGAACAATAAGTAACATATCTGCCGCTTTTGTTCTGACCAATTGAAAACATAAATGTTAAAATATAAATCACTTCAGAGCAGAATAGCTCTAAAGCGAACAAGTGTGCTAATGTTAGCTAAATACTTATTGAGCCACTGAAATACAGAAAGAAACATCTCTGTGTCAGTTTTCAATCTCCTCACCCCAAACTGACATTTTCCACAAAATCGGACCTGAAAGCTCAAATTAGAAATCATTATTATAAGCTTACCATTGTGAATCGGGGTAGGGTAAGGAGACAGTTTTGAACACCGGCTAATGTACTTGCTGATTTTAATCAATCAATAAGTGATTTTTGTTCATTTTTTACCAAAAAAAAGTTTTGCATTGAATTGTACATACTACTTAAGATGTTGACTTTAGTTAGTTTAGAGACCTGTTTAAAATCTGTCATAAACAGTGATATAATCATTATAAACACTTTGACAATACCTAAAACAGTGCAACCCATTATAAACCGTTTACAGCCTTCTTTACGTTCACTTCGAATTAAATATAGTGTCGTCAGAAAAAAACTCAACAACTACAGTGGTATTTTTATCTATTCAATGACATTTAGACATTTTTAAGTGTGTTATAAAAGTCCAAATACCAAAGTCCAAAATTTTGGGTCACTGTATCTGAAGCCCATTTATGAAGCATCTATGAAAGCTGTGTTTGGGTTCATTTGCATAAGCAGATTTGGCCCCATATGAATGAATGAGAACAGGCTTGAGTCATTTGCATAGCAGCTAATTCAGCAAAATGTTAGCTCACTGAGGCCATACTAAAAGAGCCAAACTCAAGGACGCCAACCCCACTGCTGTTCAACTGCGGGTAGTGACCAATACATAATGTACTTCTCATTTCAAAGTTATGTCATGTTTTTATATAAATATATATATATATATACTACATAGTGCTACATAGTGAAATTAAAAAAGTAAGCAACAAGGTTGCAGATTTAGCTTAATTTAGTGTTACATAAGTATTATTGATATACTATTCTATTTTTTTGTTAATTGTTATAAATATTTTATTTTTTTTCATTTTTATTTTAATTTACTGTTATGTTTTTTGTCCTTTTTATTAGTTTTATTTACATATGGATGTAGTTTTTATTCATTTATATTTCAATTTCAACTTCATTCTCATTTCTTATGTTATGTTATTGTTTGTTTGTTATAATAACCCAAGGCTTAATTAGAAATGATGTCACAATTTTAATTAGTGCTGTCAAACGATTAATCGCATCCAAAATAAAAGTTTTGTTTACATAATGTGTGTGCTGTGTATATTTATTATGTATATATAAATACACACACATGCATGTATATACTTTAGAAAAATATGTTATGTTTATATATTTAAATATATTTATACCAGTGGCGTTCCGTCCATATAAGCTGCGAATGCTCCGCATACCCAGGCCATTTGAGAAGTTCACGGGATAATTAATATAAACATGATTATAAGTTGATCCCTTATCATTTGAAATTTAACTTAAAGCTTAAAGAGTTAGGAATTAGTACGTAAAATGATTTATTTGCCAAACGGCAGTAATTTTCTTTAAATCTACGTCAGTTGCGGTTGCTTCCGGGCGAGCGGATTCTCTGCAGCTTTCTCGCCTCCGCTCTGTTGCTATCAGATCTCGATTGCCGAGAATCACATTGTTTTTGATGCAAAACCAACTCGACTAAATCAAAAGAACAAAAACACTGTAACTGTATACTTTTGTTTTCTCAAGCAAAGCAAATTTTAAAAGTCCACTGAAAACATATCTTCTTACATTTTTGGTCATAGACAAACGATATAACGATATCGACGATATATGTTATTGTTAATGTCATTGCCTAAGTGGTAAAAAAAATATAAAAACATTTATAAAAACGTGGGCTATATAACATTTTTATAATAACAAACATCATATTATTCCCTTTGTTTTGAGTATACTCGTGTCACTTACAGTCAAAGTCCTCTGATTTTATTATTGTTTGCAAGGTTGCAACGTTACTTTGCAATATTTTAAATATATTTTTGGGTATTTTGCATGGTCTGTTATTGGAGTAGTGTCACCTGGGTGGGAGTTTTAACTCCTATTCACTGTGAATAAAAAAATTATTTAGCTGATGCAGAGAAACATATAGAGCAGGGGAATCCCCCCATCTCCCACCCTCTGATTACATATCATAAAGTAATTACATGTAAATGTTATTTGGTGGTTTTTACTTGGAAACCAGCTATATTTTTCTAGCATTAGAATAACAATGGGTGAACCTGAAACGATAGAAGGCTTGGAGATGAAATCATCCATCAAATGTGTATACTTTTAAATCGGGGGGGGGGGTCTTATCACTCAGCATACTCAGCATCGCCACTGATTTATATATAATATAAATTATATGAATATAAATATATACATGTAAATATTTTCAAAATATATTCTGTATTATAAAAATACACAGTACACACACATATATTATGCAAACAAAAACTTTTATTTTGGATGCGATTAATCACGATTAATCGTTTGACAGCACTAATTTCTCATTTTAATACATATTTAAATATTTGTATCATTTATCATCACTGATCTTAATGCTTTTCTAAACACAAATGTCCTCTAGATTACGCAATCTCTAATGCATGAATGCAGATGAACGTACAGGCTACTTACAAACTTCAGGACCAAGTGAGGAGTTCCAAGTGTTATTTTTGTATTCATTGTGTGTCAGAGATCCCCGGAGCGAGACAGTGGAAGAAAGCAAGAAAACAACATCAGTAATAGGATAACACAACTCTTTTGGGCCTTGTTGCTCTCCATAGTCGCCATTGTGTTTCGTCGTATCGGCGTGTTTGGCCATAAGCTCAGAGTGTTTCTCCGGTCCCCGTCCACATTCACACGGAGCGGGACATCAAAGCCGGAGCAGCCGTGCTTTTGTCAAACTCTCCACCCCAATTTTCCGTCACCAAGTCTTATCTCTTCCAAATCAGCGGCAGCCTTTAACCTATTCTGAGCCGATTAGCTGAATGCTTGATTTGAGCATTAGAGAAACTATAGCAACCTGTAATCTGCCAAAGAGAGAATCAAAAAGCCCTATGTATCTTGTCACGCAAGAGCTGGCAGCCCACCTTGACCCCATAAGCCGTCTCTTACAGAGCCCTCGCTGGGCGGACAGGGCCCCGCATTATTCACACAAATACAATCCGTTAAGAAATGTCCTCTTCTCTGCTGGTCTCCGGCCAGTCTGTGCCCCGTCCTGAAGAGCAACAATCTGCCCAGGTCTATGATCGTTTAGTAAACAATGTGCAATAAAACAATATCCACTGAACAGTCTACAGAAAAGCTAAACCTAGTGCAGCTAAGATGTTAGCAGAATGTATTGGAGCATTAAACATCACATATCCATATCCTTGTGAAAAATAATTAGGCCTACATTTTAAAATGCATTTAAAAAGAACACCTTTAATATAGCTTATACTTGAGCGCGAACTGAATGTAACTACTTCGGACATTTAATTGCATGTTTAAAATGTTGCAATTAATGTTGCATGGCAGCCCACCTTGACCCCATAAGCCGTCTCTTACAGAGCCCTCGCTGGGCGGACAGGGCCCCGCATTATTCACACAAATACAATCCGTTAAGAAATGTCCTCTTCTCTGCTGGTCTCCGGCCAGTCTGTGCCCCGTCCTGAAGAGCAACAATCTGCCCAGGTCTATGATCGTTTAGTAAACAATGTGCAATAAAACAATATCCACTGAACAGTCTACAGAAAAGCTAAACCTAGTGCAGCTAAGATGTTAGCAGAATGTATTGGAGCATTAAACATCACATTTCCATATCCTTGTGAAAAATAACTAGGCCTACATTTTAAAATGCATTTAAAAAGAACACCTTTAATATAGCTTATACTTGAGCGCGAACTGAATGTAACTACTTCGGACATTTAATTGCATGTTTAAAATGTTGCAATTAATGTTGCAGTGTTTTTGAACCACTTAAGTAGCGTAATTTAGTTCAAGTTTACTGCAGAATGTACAGACATGCATTTATGGTATGATGCCATTTTTGTTGAACATTATGCTATATGTCATTCATTTAAATATTTTTGTACAAACACATCTTTAAGTTGCAATTTAGTATGTTTTAAATATATTAGCTTATATCAAATATCAAATAACACACTAGAGTTAAAGTTATAATCATAAAGCACTTTCCATGTGCTTTAGTGCAGTATGTTATTCAAATCATCGAAATGTGCTTAATTCTTTAAAGCAGTAATAAATTCTTTATTTTGACATTATTACTAAAATACACTTTTTAAAAGTCTTTAAAAACACTTAAGTGGTCTTTTATATTATCTAATGCATACTTTTTTTTTCTTGCACATTCCATACACTTTGGGGGATTTTTTTTCTTCACAAGGGAGTATGACACACAGATATAGTTTAGAGGTGTTTGCTAAGGCATTTGAACAAACCCAGAACCAAAGTGTTTATGTATTTATTTTGCACCATTTGGTAATCACACCTGAATGATGCCTAAAATCAGACTTGTGGAGTTAATTGTTACTTTTCAAAGTGATTTACACTTTCAAACAAATCTAAGAAAAAATGAAATGAAAAAAGTGTGAATTTGTAGTAATAATAATAATAATAATGATAATTATTATTATTATTATTATCATTATTATCATCATCATCATCATCATCATCATCATCATCATCATCAGATGTTTAAAAAAAAAATCCTCAAACAAACAATTTCTATTCTTCCAGTCTGATCAAGCCAGACATAAGAAGCAGTGTAATTTTCATGTGTGGGGCAAAACTCAGGACGGTTTAGTAAGATCATCATCATCATCATCATCATCATCATCAGATGTTTAAAAAAAAAATCCTCAAACAAACAATTTCTATTCTTCCAGTCTGATCAAGCCGGACATAAGAAGCAGTGTAATTTTCATGTGTGGGGCAAAACTCAGGACGGTTTAGTAAGTGAGTGTGTGTGTGTGTGTGTGTGTGTGAGTGTGTGTGTGTGTGAGTGTGTGTGTGTGTGAGAGTGTGTGTGTGTGTGTGTGTGTGTGTGTGTATGTGTGTGAGAGAGAGAGGTTTAGTGTGTGCCAGATGGAGGCTCTGTCTTTTATTGGCAGTGTGAAAGGACAGCTTATAGTGCTCCTCTGTGGTCGGGCTCAATAGAGAGGGTGAGAGCAGACCCTCACACACACACTCTCAACTCAAAGCCTGATGCTTGTCACCATATGGAGCTGTTTAAAAACGGCCATAGCCCCACACAAAAGAGCAACATTAACAGCCTCTTACAATGACTGCTGGGATAACACTGAATTATTGCACAGGGAGAGCAGTCACACACACACACACACACACACAGAGATACCTTTCATGACCTTATCACTCAAATCTGAGGTTTGATAATACTGAAAGCTTTGAATATTTTCAATTTTAGATACCATATGGAGCTGTTTAAAAACGGCCATAGCCCCACACAAAAGAGCAACATTAACAGCCTCTTACAATGACTGCTGGGATAACACTGAATTATTGCACAGGGAGAGCAGTCACACACACACACACACACACACAGATACCTTTCATGACCTTATCACTCAAATCTGAGGTTTGATAATACTGAAAGCTTTGAATATTTTCAATTTTAGATCGAACTGAAGGGATTGTTCTCAGCTGGTTTTGCTTCAGGACCCAGATTTTACATTAAATATTAAGTGGCGATCCAACACAATATCAAAATTGTTTATTGCAGAAAAGAAAAACGGTTCGGTAAATGTGGTTAGTTGTTATAGTTCGGCTGACAGAACATAGGAGTTTTTTTGCCTCCACTTTAAAAGTTTAAAACCCTATTTCGTTTTCCTAACTATGCAAAATGATATGGCTAGTCACTTATTGTTATTTGTATTTAGCATTGTTTGTCCCTATACTATCTGTGACCATACCAGAAGAGTCGTGCCCCACTAGTTAGGAACCACTGCATTAGACGAACGTTCATTCATAATAATTAAATAATTAAAAATTAATAACAGACCATTTTACTCAATATTTGCATGTGCTATGTATTGTATTATATTATAGAGCACTGCAGTGATGGATTTTTGTAGTAAGTTAGCATCACCCTGGTTCCTCGACAAAAACCTAATAGGATTTTTCCACTGGCTTTTGGGTTATTTTATTTTATTTATTAACTTTTATAAATTTTGAAACTTAAACATAATTGTTAGAAGTAAAAAGCTAAACGCAACTGAAGTAACTATGCTACAGTCACATGACTTCAAAGTCTTATTTCAGGCAATTAACCAAAATCGAATTTAAAAATAAAAAAGTGTTAATGAGACCAGAAGTACTAAAATTATAACTCGTTTCTGGATTTGGCCTACAAAAATACACCACCCCTACAGCACTCCTTTAGAGTATCAAGTGTTTTGCGTAGCAACATGCTAGCGTTAAACTCTATTGAACTCAGTCTACAGTGTGTTTTGAGCAAGGAGGTCTATTTGTATGATACAGAGTTTCTGCTTGAGTAGATTAATAAAATCCCTCTTATGAAGGTCCATTTCAGTTAGGTGCTGCCTTAAAAGGTTTGTGTATAGTACATAGCATATCTTACACTAGCAGATGAGAACAAGCCCTCTGTCGGCTTTCATAAATCATAAGAATTAAAAAAGAAACAAAACATTGCTGACTTTTTAAGGTACGTTTTACCTCTCATCTCAGAAAACTGTTAAAATCCCACCACATTTACGCCGCAACACTGTGAAATTTTTTTTGTAAACATACAAAAGGCCAATAAAAAGAGGTAAAGAGCCTTCCTTATCCTAAAAATTAAGCATGAATTTAATCCTTTTATACCACAGTAGCTCAATCCTCCACTCCTATTGGCTGAGAGATGCAGAGAGGTGCATGTCCGCCCCGAGGCGGCTGGAGCGCTGCCTGTTTGTTAAACTAATAATTGCCATGTCATTACACTATAATTAGACACAATGATCATTCGGCTGCCTGTGCGTATAGAGAGGGCCGCATACCAGACACACAAATTAACATGAATTAAATACCTCATCATTGCAATTATTAATGTTGAACAAGAGTGCTCAACTCCTGCATGAAGATGCCTGAAGGTGTAAACCACCATGACCATGTTTTCATATATTAACACTGGTTTCTCTCATTATTAGACCGTGTGCTCCTGAAAACATAGACAAAGCTTGAATTAACAAAGTTGAATTAATAAAGATCGATGAAAAGCAGTGATAAATGTCCATAAGTCAGGACTTGAACTCGGGACGCCAAAGCACAACAGCGCTGCATGTCTGCCCACAAGGTGATTGGCGCCGACAAACTGTGCAAGTTTTACCACACTTTTTCAAACTGTGAAAAAATTGAGAATTTAATCATTTGCGCTAGTAGATTACAAAGTCAACGCAAAGACGCAAATAGCCGCAAATTTGTGCCAGATGACGTGACAAATTGGGCAACATGATTGCTGCAAACAGGTGATATTCGCCTCAATCGCGTCTTCCACGCAAGTTGAAAAATTTAAACACGAGCAGGAGATTCACATGACGCGTTGTCGCGCAAGTCAATCAGTGAAGAGCTTAATGACGCGTCTGGTTTGACACGTCCAGTTGTATCAAAAAAAAATGGAGGGGGAGCATTATTATGTTTTTATTCACGTAAATGACACAAAAAAACATCTCACGTGAATATTCGCTTCGCTTTGGTGTGAACAAACTATTAGGGGTCATCATATATGGGGGTCCTTGGCATTAAAATGTTTGACACCTACGTTAGGGTATTGTGGGTGGTCACCAGGGCACTGGAGGTATTCTGGATGGTTTTTAGTATGTTGCTATGTTGTTGCTAGCATAGTCTTTGTGGTTGCTTACTGGCCTAAATCAAAAGAGCCCACCCAAAAGTCTCTCAGATATGCTGGTCCTTTTATATAACCCGGGTCTCTCCTCCACCATGGGAAGGCTTGCCTTAGCAAACACCACTAACAAACTTGATATAACAAAAACGACTCTTAGAGAGCATACTTACCCCCTGGAAATCCAATGAAGTCATTGAAGACAACAGTGATTGAAGACAACATGGATCAAACATTGTCCTGATGCAAATGAAATACTGTACAATGGACTCTAAGCAAGTGTCCTTTACATTCTAGTCAAGAGAGCTAATAAGATCTAATGAAAGAACTACTCTAAAGAGGACACCTACTCAACTAATCCATTCCACCTTCATCAACACATCACAAGGCTAAAGTTGGCCAGCCCGTGAGGAGAGGAGCATTGTTGTGAAGCTCAGGTTAAGGGAAGGACCAAATCTAGGTACATAGATTAGCATCCACAGAGGGGATTATGGACACCTACTTCCATTTCAAAGCCTCACGTTTTTGAAGTTTTGGGGGTGGTTGGCTCTAAGCTGAGAAATTGTGAGTCTAAAGGCTAAACTCTCATTTGATTCCTCTGGGATCTCCTCAGCTTAATCCCCAGATCCTGGTCTCATCTTCCCTTGCTATTCGATCGCCTCAAGCTCAGTGTCCAACCTGGCTACAGACACCCCCTTCATTCATTTCTCTTAAGAAGATTAGCAAGCCCTTGGATGTTATTGTTTGCAAATCTGATTTCCCTGGTGTCATATTCTAGTAAACAACAGCATTGCGATGGATGCAACTGACCAGTGGGAGTCTCTACTCATACATGCATATCATTCATCTAAATACCCCCAAACTTGCTGTCTTTTTTTGACTTCCTCTTCATTGCTATCAGCACTGACTTGGCTCGATGAACAAGCTACTAATAAAAAGTGGCCAACCGTTTTGAAGCTATTCACATTCTACTACAACACAATTCAAAATCAAATTTCGCACAAACTGGTTCATTTAAACGAACTCTGCAATTTTCAACACTGTTGCATTACAATTCGTAAATATTATGTTTTGGCAATCTTATTTACACATTTTAATACAGCCTACTTGCCCTGCGGAGGGTTAGGTTTAGGAGTGGGGTCAGAGGTACAGTTTGAAGTTTACTTTTATTTGATCACAAATCTTACATTTTCACATTGCACAAATTTGTAAGAAACCGTGACCTCGATAAATACTTTTCTGCTTCTTTATTTCGAGAGATCATGCTTACTATTTACATGAAATTAATTTGACCTCAAATTGGTTAATATGAAATAGAAGGTGGGCATTTTAGGCTTAAATATACACTTGGGCTTACAACTGTGTTCTCAATTAATTTTACTCTTTTTATACCACTAGGTATTGCACAATTTTGAACTTTTTAATGGGAAAGCAACTCTGCTTGAAAACTAACTGTTACCCTACTAAAATCTTTTAAGTTAAGTTTGTAGTTTTGGTATTTTGAGCATCACAACACTGCCTATAGTGCCCATCCCAACCAGCCTCAGATAACAATTGACAATCTTCTTGAAACAACACTTGAGTATAATTGCAGACAACAGATAGATTAGGGTAAAACTAAGAATTACATGAAAAGAGTAATAAACTGATGATTGGGTTTGCACAAGTTCTTTCTAGTGGCATGAAGCAGAAGCAAAGAGGATGGGGATGAATGGGGTATAGGTAGAGTCCTCGTGTACTTACAGTGACAAAGTCCTGTGAAAAGAAGGAGGAAACAAATCTAATGAGGACACATAAATCAAACATGGTCAAAGGATGTTCCGCACAAAGTCACACATTGCAATTTCAATGGTGCTGCGTTTTCTGCAGGGATTCAAAAGGGACTCAAGGTAACCGTTTGATTGGGAACGAGGAAGCACTAATTAATTTGAGAAGCTGTTATCTTGCTCTGTATCTGCGTCTATGAGAGGGGTTTGAACCATTTGGCTGTGATGCTTCAAACACAAAGAGCTTAATTTCCCCTAGAGACGCCAATGCCAAGTTCAGCCCACAAACCCTTTTCAGTCCTGCCAAGCAATTCCAGCCATGCCATTAATTCCACAAAGCCAAATGTAATTGATTGATAAGGGCCTGAGATTAACCTTTCCTATGAGTTTTTGTCTCTCAATCGTGATGGCCACATAAGATGCTGTCTATCCCATCAACACTATCGCTTTTATCTGATCCTGGTTAAGAGCATTGGCCATTACTGTTGACCTGGGGGGACTGGATGAGCAAAAAGGTTCACTAAAAATGTCCATCTTTGACTGCCACATCTGAAATCAGATCTGATGAGAAAGTTCCATCTTATCTTTAAAGACAATGAAGATGCATTTGAACCGGTTCCTTGTTTGAAAAATGGATTGTGAGGTACAGACAAAAACCTTGCGTGCTCTTTGGAAATGTCCTGTTGTTGTCTAAGTTAGCATCACTTACACAAAAGAACATTTTGCTGTTATAAGCACTAGCATGCTAGTAGACACATGATTTAAAGTGTTCTCTTTGGCGGTAGCAGGTCCACAAACTTGCACTAAAATTATGAAAGAAAACTAGTGGAAAGAACGATAAACAATTAAGAAATTGTTCATTAACAAATGTTGAGAAAAAAAGTAAAGCAAACTATGTTTTAAAAACACTCTTTCATGTAGGTTTTATGAAAAGGGTAGCTTGCAGGAATTTTTGGGCCATGATTTATTACTGATTAATTACTAATTAACCTGCAACTCAACTAGAGAATCAGGGTTAGTAACATTAAATAACTATTGGTTCTTGCACTGCAAGTCTGTAAACACATACTGGAGCTTTAGTACTTAGTTCAAGAGTAACTTTTTCAAAGTAATTCCTAGAAATATTTGGACACAAATGGCACCGTTTTCTGAGAATGTTCCATTAATATCTGACAACTGGTTAAACTAGAGTAAAATAAGTAGCTATTAGCATTAGCAGTAGCTATAGAGGTGGTAAATGTTCCTGCCAGTTGCTCTACAGCAACGCTGCAAGCACTTAGCAGCCCCAGCCGTTCCCTGTCATCCTCGCTCACTGCGTAAATTCACTAAACTTCATGGAAATTTAATCAGAGCTGCTGCTTTGGGCCTCACTCACGTAGAGCCGCGACCCGCTGCTGCTGCCAGGCACATATGTGATGATTTACAACCAGACACACGTCTGCCACCTTCCTTTTCTTTTCCTCCTCTCTGTTTTCTGTGTCCAACCATCTCCCTTGTTTCGGAAGTGTGGGTAAGTGGCAGAATACACAGCCTTTGGGCCAAAGGCTTCTGAAGTTAAGCCAATACAGGCTGTGCTTGCATCCAGGGGACAAACAATATCTGGAAGTCGTCAGTGTGTTTTATTTTCTTTTCTCTTCACCTTTAAAAAAGACCCGCTCTGTTCCTCTAACACTATCAGGCAACAAAAACGCTCCTGGTCAAACAACATTCAGTTCCTGTCCGAGTCTTTTCATCCTGCCCTAAATCTTCAAAAGAGACACTCTCTGGTTCTGTGCAGTAACGTAATCCTCATCCTAATTAGCTTGACCCTTACAACCCAGAAACGCAACTGCTGAAACCTCTCCAGTCACTACACAAATTACTAGTAATCAGGAAAATTATGGTACTGGCACCATACAGAGAATAATAAATAATATATTTTTTTAGTTATTGAAACGTTTGAATTTTTACAAATAAAATGCAATGGTTAAGTCTCACCTTTTTGGAGACAAGTGTAGGGTCCTGTTGTAGAAGCAGGTACAGGGTAGTAGCGTTTCCCAGCACTGCACAACGCAGCCACTCTTTCTCAATGGGGTCCATCTGTACCCGATGAAACAGTGACTACAAACAAGACATGGAATACATAAGACCCGACAAGGGAGCATGCACGAATAGGGTTCACCTGTAAGACCTATAAGTCGTATGTACTTAGTCTCTGAGGAGGCAAGACAGGGATGGTAAAAAACAAATTATGGAATACAAGACTAAATAGTGTTCTAATTTCCCACCTAAAGTAACACTGTCTAAGCAAATTGTGGCATACAACACCAGATCACTGTGTTATCACGGAGTTTCTAAAGTGTGGCGTAAATGTGAAGGGCGAACAGTAAAATACAGGTTAAAAGTCATGTGACAGGAAGCAGTGCCTCCATTGCGCAATTACTGGCTGATTACTCTGTCAAATACTTGCAACATTGAAGTAATATGAGCAGAAATGTCTTTCTTCTTACTTGACAACAATTGGATTTAATATATATATTTCTGTCATGACAACTCTTGGAGGGACTGGCATGGTAATGTACATGACAATGTTAATGTATTTGGTCTTGGCGGAATAGATCTGCTACGCTGCTTTGGCAGAGCAATTACCGAGACTTCCTACTGCCAATACATCCACAACATGCTGCTGTGAGCATGTAAGAAATATTGCTGCTGCAAATATAACATACATGAAATAACCCCCATATAGCATACATGAATGTCCTCGTAGCAGATCTATACAGGTGGATCTGGGGAAGGTGGAGGGTTTCTGAAGCAAGCTGCAACTGCTACTGCAAGCACTAGTCATATATTTGAATGTTGAGCAGCGAGCTCATTGGCTACCGATACAGGAGAGAACCAATCAGCTGTGCCATGTGATAATGATGTCATTAGGTCAGATTGAGTTAGACCTATCGGACTGCGCCATCTAGAGTTTCATGTGAATTCTGAATTCATGTCAACAAGGTGGCATGCTGCTGTTTGTAATATTTGTCATAGTACAGACTATAGTTGGGTCCCAAAAGAGGTACTCTATACTATGTACTTCTATTAAACTGGTGACACTTTAATTTAGGGACCAGTTCTCACTATTAAGTAGTTGCTTATTAGCATGCATATTACTAGCATATTGGCTGTTTATTAGTACTTATAAAATACATATTAATGCCTTATTTTGCATGACTTTTTTAGATATTAATACACCCCAAACATAACAACTACCGTACTAACTATTAATACGCATCAAATTAGTTATTTGATTGAGGCAGAACTGTATTATACCGTCTAGTGTATGGCATATTATAAGGTTATTTTGTCATCCAGCATCAGAGTCGGATAGCCCCTCCCCTTCTACTATGAAAGTATGTTTTTTTTTTTTGGTTAAATAAGTACATCATCCATCATTTGAAGAACACTTTTTGTCTTGTTGGAATTTCAAAGTGTGCATGCTCTACTTACATGTTTTGTGCTAAAAAATGTTCATAAGTATACATCAATGGGACAAATAATTGTAGTATTCAGAAAAATTGTAGTATACAGAACATACTAAGTAAATAGTATACTACCATTCATCTGACTGCCTGTCCATTCCTGCACTGTGAAAATCTGTTATAACACTAGCCTTCAGCTCCTTCTTGTTTTGACCTCTCTTCATTTCTAATCTGAGGTCGGTTCCAGGCAGCCTCCATCTAACCAGAACCAGACAGAGTTTCTTGTCACACTGATCAATGACCTGTGACCAAGTCTGGGGCCCTGCAGACGCCCGTGGCCAGCACAAGGGCCCCGTTGTTCAATCTGACAGAATGCGTCAGGGATCCAGTACCCAGATAATACGATCCAAGGGAAGACTGTGGATCTCAGCACCACTAATCCTCATGTTTAGCACCTGTTTATGATATGACAAATTGAAACCCCCGCTGTGAAGGTCCTGGCATTATTGCATTTCTGTTCAAAACATTGATTCAACATGGCAACTGAGGGGCTGCTGATTGGGACCAGGGGCCGAGCGTGGATATTGACATACGCATCTTATAAAAGCTAAAGCAACATGAACTTTGAAATAAACAAATACTTCACGGGGCAATATTAGAAACAAAGAAAGACAGAAAGGAAAACTAGCAGAGGAAAATGAGGTTGGGATCCTGTGGCCTTGCCCTGCTTTGACCTCTGACCCCGTGTTAAAGGCAGAGCGTGCAGAAAAACGGAGGAAAGCGTCTGCAGATCAAAAGGAGCTGACAGATGAAGGCGAGGGGTCTGCGTGACCTTGACTCTTAAACTTCAGCTGCGTCTCCAGACGAGAAAACACTGACGTGAGCTCCATTCATCGGTCTGTTGGTAACACCCAATGCCAGATAACATAAGCTGCTCATTAGAAAGCAACCAGATACAGCAACACTTATACGCCACAATCTAAAGCGTGACATCAAAATGCTGTCTGACATTCAAACATGCTCAAAATGGCACGGCTTACTTATTTGATCATGAAAATTATGTAAAATTCAATCCATGAGAGAACAAAGATGGTCCCTGCAAATACGTCAGGTCCACATCCCATGATGCCTTGTGCTGAGGAAATTCCTGCTGTGAGAGGGCAGACCCCAATAACAAGATCTATAAAAATAACTGTGACATCCTGTTGCTATGGTCAACAAACAGCGAGATGATTGATGAAGACAAACTGCTGCAGTGATGGACATTGCGAGGCATCTCTCTAAGACTGCCCGTCTTGCTTCAGCCCTTATGGACACATGAAAGGATCCAAACTCTGGCTCTCAGACGGATCAGATGTCAGTGCTGCGTTTTCCCACTCCAGGAGTTTTTTTAGTTGTTTTCTTCAGAAACTTGTTCAGGTGTACATGCCTCAAGTCTCTAAGAGACCATTATTATTGGAAAACCATGTGAACATCTTTAAAACAGCCGTTAAACACAAAATATGTCATTAATATGCTTATCCGATCTAGAACAAAAGAGGGATTGACTAAAAACTGCAGCCAATGATAGCGCATTTATATATTTATTTAGATTTGAGTTGATCATTTATTATTAACAAAGTCATAAAAGACGTCCCTCCATATTATGTGACCACCCTTTTAAAACTATTTTATGCTATTTAAATTAATAAAAAGAGAAAAGGAAAGGAAAACATTGAAATCGCATCACCCTTTTAAAACGTCAACCCTGTTACTGTGATGTTGTATAGTAAACATTTGATAATTGAAAAGTAGGTAATTGTGGAAATGTTAGCAAATAAATTTTTCTATTAAGCACCTTGTAGTGCATGACCTTTGGTGTAAACCCTAACCTTGTCAACCCTGTCACCTTTCTAAAAGTGTAACTATATCCTGTCACATATTAAAATTAAATAATTTATTTTGAGATAGCACAGTGCAATTCATTGACACTGCATTATCTGTCTTTTTGCCATTTTTGCATTTATTCAGATAGGACAGTGAAGAGGGATTCAATCTCGCACAACCGCACTGTGTATCAGAGTGCTTCTGACGAGGTTATCATTTATGACGTATCTTATTTGACAGAAATGTTACTTTAAGAATGAAAAGGGCAGATATTTCATAGAATAACAAGGTGACACTATAGTATAGGAACCAATTCTCACTATTAGCTAGTTGCTTATTAGCATGCATATTATTAACATATTGGCTGTTTAATAGTGAGTATAAAGCACATATTCTGCATGACCATATTCTACTTCTCTAATCCTACGCAATGTGCATGTCTTGCATGTTTTGACATGAAGACCAGAGCAAAGGCCTCAAGCCTTTTGACAAACTTTGCATGTTCTGCATGAAATACAAATTATATCCACGTATATGTGGGCTGTTTAAAAAATTCAATATTTTTGCTAACAATATGCTAAATCATGAGCAAGTTGGAGGTGAGTCAGGTCTACGCTTGAGCATGGGAAGTGCCGTGTGGGCGCTCCAAGCACAGCGGCCTGGTGAACTCTTCTCAGCGTGGTCTCACTGAAGGTGCTTGTTCAGACATTGAATGCTAACATGGAAATAGCCGATCTGGGGCGTTCACTCTGTTAGCATTGGCAGAATGAGTCAGCTAGGTCAGTGTCCCGCTCGCTGGGAGAGAGATACAATATCAGCAAGTTTTTGTGCCCTTTGTGTGGACACTGGGGATGGAGGAGAAACATGCTGTAGTTTTTGCTACACACAGTCAGTGTTGTGAGTCAACTACCGATTAATTAGCTTGGTTTAGCTAAACTAAAAGAAGCATGGTGCGGGTGTAAATGTACCACTAAAAAAATTAAAAGCACATTAACAAATTGGTTCTCTGTGACATATTTTGTGATGCCTTCAACAGTCTGTTTTTTCAAACAGGGTGTGCTGAAGGAGTTTACTTTATGAACGAAGTAGGTAAGGTTGAGGTCAGGACTTGAGCCCTGCTGAGAATTTATCACCCCAACATAAAATTAACAAGAGAAAGGAGCTGTAATTGGCAGGCCAGTTGGTACCCAGCCAATAAAGTTTACAGCAAAGTTAAAATGAAAGTTTACAAGAGACAAACTCCCCTCGTTTATTCTGAAATTAATGTCTCTGGTTGTTTATGGCTCCGTTGCCTTCTGACATCCATTTTGAAAGAAATGCTTCCAGCAGCAAGTTTATGATGTAGTTTATTACGTGGCCTCAAAATTCATGGGCATAAATCATAAATGCTCTGTATTTGATTCTCTGTATTGTCTGATTATGGAAGATAGAGATTTGCCTGTTAACTCAAGCATAAAGTATACTTAAGTTTTGATGTGTTTGCTGCAGTCTCCGGTAGTTTGTTGTTGTTCCATCCTTTCCGTTGCTTTTCTGACAGCCAGTGTTGCCCCCTTGTGGATCAACTAATTGCGCAAGTTTAAAAAAACCAGGCTGTGCGAATACAGTAAGTATGCTGATGATATTTACAAACACAAATATTTGTGTTAAAAAAAAATACCTCACCAAAAAATGAAATTTTAAATCATCTTTTACTCACCTTTACATCATTTCAAACCAAAATGATCTAAAATATAAAAGACTTGTATGCTTTTATGATCCAAAGATAAAACTAGTTCCCTATCTGTC